TGTTAACGTTTTTTAGAAGGTCTCTCTCTATAAGTCTATATTATATAACTAAACTATTGTTGTATGTAAAGTAAACAAGGTTTTCAAAATGTTTAAGAAGCTTCATTTAAAATGAAATTAAAAGGCTGATCTTACGCCACCAGCCTGCTCAGCCCACTGCCAGGCTGGGGTTCTGTTCACCTAGGCCTGCAGTGGGCTGAGCAGGGCGACTCGAGGTCAGGGCAGAGGGCTGGGGGTGTGTGGAGGTGCAGGGCAAAAGGTTGGGTGTGGGGGGGACTCGAGGTCAGGGCAGAGGGCTGGGGAGGCGTGGAGGGTGCAGGGTAGAAGGCTGGGGGTATGGGGGTGCAGGGCAGAAGGCTGAGTGTGTGGGGGGAGGTCAGGGCAGAAGGCTGGGTGGGGTGGGGTGCAGGGCAGAGGGCTGGGGTGCTCGGCTCGTGAGGGTGCTCCCAGCTGCTCAGGGCAGGGGGCTGGAAGGGATATGCCCTGTTCCACTCCCTTTCCCCAGGCCCGTCCCTACCTCTCTCTGCCTGCTCTACGGAGCAGCGAGCACACTGCCGCTCTTCCCCCTCCCCCTCCCCCTCCCCCTCCCCCTTGCAAGGGCCATCCCGGCAGGGAGAGGGAGGAGGAGGGGCAGAGGGGCCAGAATGCACCAAGCTGTGGGAAAGAGCGGGGGAGGAGGGAAATTTGGCTGCCGCAGGACCAAGCTTCCCTCCTCCCCTGCTTCTTCCCCCAGCGTGGCGCTTTCCGGCCCCTCCGCCCCCTTCTCCTCTCACCGGCAGGCAGCGTGCCATTCAGAATCGGCTTGCGTGCCGTGTTTGGCATGCGTGCCGTAGGTTGCCGACCCCTGCTTTAGTGTTTCCAAGCCGTATATTGCAGCATTGAATCTGAAAGTGCAACTGACTTCATTGATTTTTTTTTCCAAATGAAGAGAATTGCATAATTAAACAGAATAGTGACAAGTAAAATTTTGCATTGTAATCCAAAATATAGTTGTTAATAAAGTTGTATAAAATAAGATTAAAGTTGAGTGCACCTCTAACCACTTTATTTAAAAAAAAATTGTGTAGGCACAATAGTAGGTTGTTCATGGGTCACATATGTATCAGTCTTAACTAGCATGAATAATGAACTGGTATTCAGGATTTAGCTTTATCTTGTATCCAATCATCAATATTTAGCCTGAATTCAGTAGAAGTTCACTAATTTGTACTAATAACAGCGAAACCTATTATGGATTACCAAACTTTCTGAATTAGTCCCTGATCCTGCAAATGCTTAAATACATCCATCCATGGGACTATTCACAAATGTAAAATTACTCACATTTAGTGAGTCTTACAGTATCTGGGCTTCCGTAAGTCCCAAATTCAGCAAAGTACTTATGTATGGGCTTCAAAGAGTCTTAACTTTAAAACACGTGTCTAAGTGTGTGCTTAAGTTCTTTTCTGAATTGGGGCCTTAGAGAGCAAATATAATAAGGATAATGCTTCTATGTATTTCATTATTTTAGTAAGTATAGATCAGTTTTAGTCTGTTTTTTATTTTAAAACATTATACAGATGTACTATAGCACATTTTCTAAAAGTAGTGTAATATTAGTAATTATGGTCTCACTTCAGTCTTTTGCTATTAAATCTTTGCCAAGAACTAGGGAGAGACTGTCAGTTATTTATATAGTTATATAACAGACATCTGCTAACTTAATTTTGCTAATCCACAAAGCTGCTGTGTTCTACTGTACAGATTCTGGTGCAGTGTTTTATTTGAACTGCCAGATAGACAAAATCTAATGAGACTAAGCTCCATCAATGTATTTGAATGTGCTATACATGTTGGGTATGTCTACACAGCAGAGTAAAACCCATGCCAGCTGACTCGGGCTGTGGGGCTGTTTAACTGCTGTGCAGACTTGCAGGCCTGGGCTGGAGCCTGGGCTCTGGGACCCTGCAAGGTGGGTGGATCCCAGAGCTCAGGCTCCAGCCAAGCGCAGAAGTCTACACAGCAATGAAATAGCCTTGCAGCCTGAGCCCCGAGAGCCTGGGTCAGCCAAGGGGTTTTTCTTTGCTGTGTGGACATTTCCTTTTAGCCTGAAATGTACCAGCTACCACCCAAGAAACCCTAGTTTTTTGTTGCATGTATAACGTAAGGTATGGTCTTCCATTGTATGAGGTATCTTCACCCACCTTTCTGGTCTATGGTACTAGTGTATCTGGATTTCAGGCCCACTCTGATATCTGTGTAGGGTAGGTTAGATGGTGTACAGGTTAATGTCCAGTCTGTCCTTGGAGGCTAGGGTATGTAGGAATTGTCAGTGTGATAATGGCACAGTAGGCTTTCTGATTTGTGAGACTAGTCTGTTTTAACTCTGATTCTCATGCACTTGTGCTGCAGTGTTTTGGTTACAAAAACTGTAAAGGAATGTTTCATTCCAACAGTTTCTTTGACGTGTTTAAAATTTCAGTGTAAACGCTTCTAAAGGTATTTAAAACCTTTTTAATAACTGAAATTTGGGGCCCAAAGTGCTATTGATTTTTAACCACATAACCTTTTATCAATCCCTCTAACTTTATCAAACTAAATACTCCTACTTAAAAAATAAAGCTGTGTAAAAGTATGTTTAAACTGGATATTTTGCTAGTGGATTTTTGTGCAAAGAATCCTATACCCTAGTTCCAGAAATTAGGGGCAAAACATAATAGTGAGCTAATATGTGACTTAGTCAAGTAATGAGTGAATATGCAGTTAAAACTGTCAGTATTTCTATTGTAACCTTCCATTTTTAGTTGTCTGAATGCCGGCCATTTCAGATAATTTCTCACTGATTTGTCATGGCAAATATAAATTCCCTTTCAAGTTTGCAAGGATCTATTTTAGATTTTCAGAGAGAGAGCCCCTTTCCCCAGTGAGTTTAGTTAGTGGCAAAGGTTGGGTGGAAGCTTTTACCAAACTCAAGGTGAAAATTTTAATTATATATGGTGGTTTACTTTTTTTGGCACTTTTCGTTTTCCAAGAGCTATACAAATGCTCCTCCTAGCACCCAAATCTGTTAGGAAAGTAGTATTTTCATTTTGCAGATGAAAAAACTAAGGGGATGTCTACACTGTGAAGGCTATACCAGAATAGCTACAGTGCCATAACTATGCTGGTATAACCCTGTAGTGTAGACACAGCCTCCACTGACAGGAAGAGTTTTTTTCTATCGGTGTTGGAACATCTCATCCCTGGGCAATGGCAGCTAGACTTAATGGAAGCATTCTTCCATTTACCTGTTTGTGTCTATACTGGGAGTTAGGTTGGCATAGGTACATCGCTCAGGGATGTGGATTTTTCACATCCCTGGCCTATGTAGCTATGTTGACCTAAATTTTAAGTGTAGACCAGGCCTCTGGCACGGAGGTTGATTTGCCCAAGGCCAAAAAGGGAATTCTTGTCAGAATGAAGTGTAGAATTTTAGCGTTTCTAGCTCCCAGTCCCTTGCTGCATACACTGGGCTACGCTTGTGTCAAAAGAAATGTACGTTTAGACTTACACACCCTGGCAAGACCTTCTGATATAGTAATTAATGGAAACTTGTAATTACTTAACGTAAACTACAAGTAAAACTAGATGCTTTGATAGCCTCTTACAGGTCTTCCTCTGTGTCAGGTGCTTGCTGGGTAAGAATAGATGTGGTACAGTACTAATTTTACATTTGTAAGTCTATTTATACTTTCACTAAAATGGGAAAATCTCTGTTCACAAGAGATTGGCCACTAAACAGTGTATTTAAAGATTACAAATATTGCAGGATTTTTCTTGGTATGACCAAGATAGCAGGGAAGCATTGTGGGGGCGAGGGTGGATGACTAAGGGTAAGTAAAGGTCTGTTGAAGAGTTAAAGGGGTAATAGATTCATAGATTCCAAGGCCAGAAGGGACCATTGTGATCATCTAGTCTGATGTCCTGTATAACACAGGCCATAAAACTTCCCAAAACAATTACTAGAGCAGATCTCCAAAACATCCAGTCTTGATTTAAAAATTGTCAGTGAAGGAGAATCCACCAGCACCTTTGTAAATTATTTCAGTGGTTCATTACTCTCACTTAAAAATTATACACATTATTTACATCTAACTGGTATGTGTGCACCATCCATGCATTGATCCCATGTCTTGTGGCTCTCTCATATACCTTCTTGCACTGTGTGTGCGCACCTTAATTTCATGTCTTGCTGTGTGTGTCACTAAAATTGGATGCTTTCGCTTACTCCCACCTGTCTTCCCTGCATCCCCAGCCTTTTCTGCATGGGAGACCAAACCCCAATATGATTGTGGGTGAGAACTGGGGAAGTTCAAAAATTCACAGAGTGACATTTGACTTGCCCAGTGTGTGGAGGAGGAGTGAGGTGTGAGGTGGAAAAGAGTGTCTGGTGTTTGATCTCAGCTCATTATAAGGCTCAGGATTCTGAATCTCTCTGACCTCCCAGATCTTGGGGGTGTTGGTAACTCGGTAGGAAGATGCTGGGGTGTCTCTATTGGGGGGCTGCCTGGGAATGTGGTTTGGCCCTGGGTGCTATCGAGTCCTGTTCCGTTATGTGGTGGGATTTGTCAGCAAAAATGAAAGTAAAATGAGAGAGACTTAGATTTGGTCCCCAGGAAGCTGCTTGGCATGCTTTGGAATCCGGAGAATGCAGAGACTCGATGGGGAGCGAGGGGACCCCCAAAACTCAGCCCTCTGGAGAGAAACTGCAGTTGAGGAGGAGGCACCACCACCATGTGCAATCCAAGTCAGAGGAGTCCTGGGGATGTAGCCACCGGGCTGATCAGGAGCCCAGCCAGCCCTGGTGGAAGTGCTTGGCCCTTGCCTTCCTCCTGCAACCACAGACCCCCAGGAAAGGAGGCTCAGCGTTGCCTGATGCTGGTGGATACAGGGGGGATCTGATTTGTAGCTGGGACAAGGCGCAGGAGTTGCTGTGGGATGGGAAATGGAGCAGTTGCTTGTGTCAGGGAGGCTCTGGGATCCTAAACACCAGCAGCAGACAGGCCACGTGGAATAAGAAATGTGGAGGAGCAAGGTCTATGGTGACTGTGACCTGATGCCTCCTCCTAGACCCCTTTCTGCCTCCACATCCTCCCGTCTCCTGACTTTGCCCCTTACACCTCTCTGTGACTCTACACATACTTGACTTCAACCCCTCTGCTTCCCCCTACATTCCCTCAGTAATACTGTAAATGCTATTTACACTAATTATTTAGTGCTTAATCATAATATACAGCTCAGTGTCATCTGAGAGATGCATAAGTTCTAGAGAAATATAGTAGGCTACCACTTGGTAATGCACCCTACAAAGGCTTTGCTGGAACAACTATACTGGTATAGTTATACCAACAGAACCCCTTAGTGGAGATGCAGCTTATGCCAGCAAAAGGAATACTCTACGGTTAAACCATCTCCCCTATGTATAGCTCTGTATCGTTGTTGGATTTTTTGCTGGTATTGCTATGTCAGGAGAGCGTTGTGTTTGTTTGAAGTACAACTTCCCATTAATAAATAGAAAAATTGTTCATATTTATACTTTTGTGATTAACAGCAAATGTCTGGGGAAGATGAAATTGAGTTTTCAGATAAAGATGAACCTGATGGAGATGGAGATGGTTCCAGTGACTGTCCCACTATCCGAGCTCCTTTAACCTCCCTGAAAAGCCATCAAGGAGTAGTCATAGCAGCTGACTGGCTGGTTGGAGGGAAGCAAGCTGTAACAGCTTCCTGGGATAGGACAGCAAATCTGTATGATGTGGAGACATCTGAACTTGTCCATTCACTAACAGGTATCTCTTTGCTTATATGAAAGCTTTTTAAGATTGCTGGTTTGTTTCTTAGTAATGATCACTCTTTTCAGACATCACAATCTTCTGGGTGAGTAATGTGTCTTTTGGGGGCAGGAAGAGACTTAAACATAAAGCTTAAGCTACAAGGAGGAGCATAAATATTACATCACTATTTATGTATGATATTCATTGAATGCCATGAACATGTAATTATTCTCCTTTGAGCATGTGTTAAAATGTATAAAATTGAGCAATTGTTTTTGAAACTTAGTGCAGCAGTTTTCTTAGTACTTCTTAACAGTTTCATTTTTCATACCTGTGCTACTTCAGGTAGCAGTAATATATGACTACTTAATGGTCAGATGAAATGACTATTCATTAAATTGTAACTTTCAAATACAGCGCTAAATGTCTACCACAGCAGTAACATTACTAATTACTATTACCAGACCAATTACTGTTTTTTACTGTTTTTGCAAAAATTGTGTCTGATCAGCATTTCATTCCAAATGTTTGTGGAAATGAAAAGTCTTGCGTTTTCGTTACCTTATATGTTCTCATCTGTGGTTGTAGGGCATGACCAAGAGCTAACCCATTGTTGTACACATCCCACTCAACGTCTTGTGGTGACATCATCACGTGATACAACCTTCCGTCTGTGGGATTTCAGAGATCCTTCTATCCATTCTGTGAATGTCTTTCAGGGCCACACAGAGTAAGTGACAGTTGCTTCACAGGTTTTTTACATATTTAGAAGGGATGAATGTATTGAGTTGATAAACTGTACCAAAAGATTCCTGTACTTTTTGTGATATTAAGACCATCTTTGTGTTAGTTTAGGAAACTTTGCCTTTCACAGAAACCCTTTAATACTGTCCTGCAAATGTAATACTGTGCCATTTAAATACTAAAAAAGCAATAATTGCACTTGCTGTGTTGTTGCTTACACAATAAGTCTCTTTTTAATTAGGCATCTTTAATAAGTAGTTCATACTCTTTACATTTAAATTTATTGTAAATTCTTGTTTAAGCAGTGCTGTGTGTAGTTTAGGAACACTGCTGTAAAATATTAAGAGAAATTTCCCGTCCCTTATTTGTTGTAATCTTAACAGTGAAATAAAGGTGACTTGTACAGAACCAAGAAAACAAATTAAAGACAACATTTTAAGTTTCTATACTCCTTTTTCATTTTGCAGTCATTTTTAACTTCACAGTTTATACTTACAAATTAGAAGCATGCAAATATTTCAGACATTGTTTCATTTATCAAAAATGACTGATATGTTTTAACACCTTTTTGATGAGTTTTGGGATTTGATGCTGATCTGCTGGCTTCTACTGAAGATAAGCAGAAGTAGCTGTATGAGTCTCTGAATATGGTGGCGAAACATACCCTTTTTTGAAGTAAAACAATGATGAGGGAGGTGAGGAAAGCAGAAGGCAAACGTTCTAAATATCTTATCCAAATTAGAAAGTGGTATAGATTTAAAAGCCCTTGCTGTTTGCGAAGTTTGAAAGCAAAGCTTGACTACCAGAAGGTGTGTGTGTATGGGGGGAGGGTTTCCCAAAAGTTGAGCACTGACTTCAATAGGAGTTTCCTTTTATTCTCAATTAGATATTTCCATGTTGCTTAATAATAATTTGAAATTTTGCTATATCAATAGTTTTTGTAAGTGCCCACCTCCTTGTTCCAAACTCAGGTACACTATCTCAAGAGTGTGACTTCCAAACTCTGATGGGTGCCAGTGTATCACAAGTAGCCATTTACTGATCTGTTTTTTCCTTACAGTAGAGTAGACCTAACCATGGCCTGAGGGCTGGAACTGGTCTGTGGCCTTGTTAATGGTGGTTTATACATAAGAGGAAATAGGTTTTGTGCTGCTCATACTCCTTCCCCCTGTGCTTTAATACTCACAGGTTATACATACAGAGCACAGAGGGAAGAAATGTGATTTGAAAATTAATGCTTTCATGATGTCAAATGGCATGGATCTTGAGAGGCTGGAAAAAATGAAAAGGATAGAAGATTGAAGATGAAAAATTACCATCTGAACTATTGCAGATTGTGGCGGGGGCTATGTTTTTAACACTAGAGACAATTTTTGACCTTTCTTTGGTCACTCTTCCTTCAGCTTCAACTACCACTCCTGTCTCCATTTGTCTCCTCTTTTTTGTGTCTCATTCTTTTGCATATTTGTCACCTTTAGAGTCCTGCATCAGAGTTTGGTCAGCATTATCTTACTGATTTGATATAGCACTTTCTCTCCTGCCAATACTGAATTTAAAAAACTCTTACTTTACTGTATATCAGTTATATTTTTATCTACTTTATTTTTGGTACCTTTTATGTCAAAAGAATGCTTTTACAGCCTTAGATCCTAGAGATGCTTACAATTCATACTTTGTGGAAGAGATGATGCTTTGCTCTAAGCAGGATATTATACCTGAGAGATATCCTAAGCTTGCTTGCAAGAGGAAAGCTCCAGTAGTTCATAGATGACATACTTCTGGTCCATGTGTCTGTTTTTATGTGCTGCACATAAGTCCCACAATGTGCTAGCACAGCTGGGTATGCTCTGCTCCTATTATGTAGTATGAGAGCAGTTCTTTTGCCTTCTGGAATGAGGTATAACAGAAGGAATTGATGCAGGTGTAAGTAATCCCATTGTAGCACTGAGTATTTTATTAGGCTCACACATTAAAAGGAATAGTGCATTTGTCATGGTGACAGGGCTAGCTGCACCTCTGTCCCCCTTGTGATCTCTCAGTGTAGCCCATCAGGTGTTGGGCCTCTTGTATCTTTACCTATCCAGGTTTGGAATTTTGCAGTTCTCCCACTAGTAGCCCACGTCATGGCTTGGAGTACTTGTGTATCCACTGTTATCACCTAGAGGTCGGAGTTAGGCACCTGTGATTCTTCCCTTTGGAAGTCTTGACCAGTGGTATATAGTGACCATAAGCTTTCTTACATCAGAAGTACTGTTTTGTTTAGCAGTAGGAACAAATTTTTAGAGAAAAAGGATTTTCAGTCTGCTTGTATGTCTGTCTGTCTTAAAGTCTTAGTACTCCTTGATGGTAATCTAGGTAGGCCTAACTTCTTCTTCATCCCCAACAGTTCCCTTTGTGTAGCTGGTTCCACTGAACAACTACAGGCTCTCTTGAGAGAGTGTCACTTTAAATTCTGGGAGTGGGTAGTTTTTTGTTGTTTGAACTGGTCCTTGGTGGTTCCTAGTCAGTACCAGTTTTGTAAGCTGGTTGAAGACAGAAGTAGAATCATCAAAGCTTGCAGTTCTAGCATTGTTACTTTAACAATTTTTTAAGTGTCAGTTGATGGGTGGGTGACTGGAGCAATCTCCTTTTTCCCTGCGTGTATTCCAGAATTGTTTTCCCTAAGATACTATTCACACAACATTTTCAAGAACTGTCATGCTATTTATAGGTTGATCAATTTGGGAATATGTAACCTATTTTTATCTAAAAGATCCAAGGGAACATACAAGTACTTTTTAAGAATTGATTGTGTGTATATATAAAAATAGTGTGGGTGATGTAGATTGCGAGGAATAGATAGTATTCATATAAATGATTTAATTTGCCACTTTTGTGTGTTTCTTCCTGAAGTCACAGATGTTATTCCCACTTGTTCTGGTTGAGATTCAAAACTACTGTTGGATCCTGTTGGTACGCAGATCAGAAATAAATTTTCCTTCCCCCATCAGAAGAAATGTTTTTTCAGTCATTTTTATCTTAAAGTGGGAGTAAAACTTTGCACTTCCTGTTCAGGTGGGGCCTAGCATCTGCTTGGTCATCTTAATCAGTAGGAGATAGTAAGTAATCTGAGACTAAGTGTGAATTTCTGTAAGATTATAATTCCGAGGTATTCTGAATACCCTTCTTACCTATGCCATGTAGAGTGTTCATCACAGAGCCCTACAGTTAAATACTTGCAATATTTTGTTCAAACTGCTTTCAGATCATCTTCCAACAGATGGCACCATAATCCTTTATTAAATGCTGAAAATGTTCCATGACAATACTTGGGCACTCAGCCTCCAGAAGAGTCCCAAATTTAGGAAAAGAGAAAACAAACCAGAATGAGATTCTCCTCAAACATCCATTGCTTTAGCCACTTAGGACTGACACTACAGTTTCTCTGTTTTAGATAGGTTTATGCATCAAGCAGCTGCTTGTTTAAAAAAATTGGAAAGATGTATGAGAGAGGGAATCTAAACTAGATGTTACCATAAACAGCTTTTTTTCAGCACAATATTAAAACTCAAAATGTAACATGGTTTAAAAGTACAGTCTCTCTGTCCCTATTGAAGGAAAACCGTCTTTAAAATCACTTGTGTTCAAAGTATAATGTCACATGATTTTTGTTCGAGCATCTTTAAAATCATAAATTGCAGCTAACATGTTTCCTGACAGCTATCCTAAGTCTTTCAAGTTGAACATTGAATTATTATAATGCTGCACATGTGCTAAGCTAATTCTAGAGCATGTTACATTTTTATAAAAGCACTCTACATTAAAAATACTTCTTGAATTTTTGCGCTCTCTCGCTCTCTCTCTCTCTCTCAAAAGGGTAACATAATGAAAAATTAGACTACCATTCATGTTTGATCCATGTAAACCAGACGTAATTAAGAGAAATCAGTAGGTGCAATTCTCAAATGTAACTAAATCAGACTTCCAGACTTGATATCCTAGGCACATGATAAAATGCTAGTCTTACTTCCGAAGAATGCATCTGTTTTGGTGAGGAGTTCCAGTGGTTAATTACCTTCACAGTTTAAAAATTTGCACTTTATTTCTGGTCTGAATTTGTCTAGCTTCAGCATCCAGCCATTGCATTTTGTTTGCTAGATTGAATAGCCCTCTACTATCAAATTTCTGTTCTCTGTGTAGCTAGTTACAAACTGATCAAGTCATCTCTTAACCTTCTCTTTATTAAACTAAACAGATTGAGCTTCTTGAGTCTTTCACTATAAGGCATTTTTTCCGGTCCTAAAATCTGTCTCATGGCTCTTCTCTAAACCCTCGCCTCCAATTCTTCAATATCCTTCTTGAATTGTGGACGACAGTACTGGAGTATTTCATCAGTGCCAAATACAGAGGTAAAATAACCTCTCTACTACTACTCCTCTTTCTTCCTCTGTTTATGCTCCTAGGATCTTATTAGCCCTTTTGGCCACAGCATCACACTGGGAGCTTGTATTCAGCTGATTATTCACTGTCATCCCCCAAGTCCTTTTCAGAGTCCCTGCTTCCCAGGATAGGAGTCCCATCCTGTAAGTATGGCCTACATGCTTTACATTTGACTGCTTTGAAATGCATATTGTTTGCTTGCAGCCAGCTTACCGGGCAATCCAGATTGCTCTGTATCAGTGATCTGTTCTCTTCTTTACTTCCCATGCCCCCAGTATTTTGATAATCTGTGTACTTTATTAGTGATATTGTTTTCTTCCAGGTCATTGATAAAAATATTAAATAGCATAGGGCCAAGAACCAGTCCTTGAGGACCTTGTTTGAAACAAACCACTTGATGATTCCCTATTTGCGGTTAACCAGTTTTTAATTCATTTAATATGTGCCATGTTGATTTTGTATGTTCTAGTTCTTCTTTGAGTGCTTGCTCATGTCCATTCCATATTAGGGGTGGGTGCTCACCACATGCATTGGTGCCGGAAGTCTTTTCCCTCAGCATTATCCGTA